GGCACACTGGGATATATATGAATGTGTGATTCATTATCTCTTGAGAGAATAACAATCCAGTCATCAAATATATTTCATCCTGAGTAGCAGACAAGTTCCATATCCATTTGATCATTGGTATTTTCAGACTGCCCTTCAACCCAAGCACCCACAAGACTTTCCTTTTTCACTGTTTCAGACTCTACTTAACAGTGTGTCTTTATACAGTGTAGTCTATAGGAATTGGGTAATGTCCTATTAAATAGTTTGTGAGTCCTCTAGGGTATGTCTACACAGGGATAAAAAAAAAAAAAACCCATGGCTGGCCTGGGTCAGCTGACTCAGGCTCATGGAGCTCGGGCTCTGGGGCTAAAAAATTGCTGTGTAGACATTCAGGCTTGGGCTGGACCCCCGAGCCCTGGGAGCTGGCAAGGGTGGAGGGTCCTGGGCTCAATCCTTCAGCACATAATACTCATGTGCATGGATGTACATACTGCTGTTTAAATATTCTGTATTCAAGTATTTAGATATTTAAATATGTTAACAGTGTTAATATTTTAACAACAAATGTGTGTTTGCATTACTTTTCTGGTGTCAGTAAATATTAAATTATGTTTGCTAACAGGGGTTTAATTAGTGAGATTATTTTAAATTTAATCTGAGTGTAAATGCAGTTGATGAGCATCATCTGATGGCAATGGTTTGAAGAGGAAGAAGTGTTTGCAAATAAATGCAAATGCTCCTTCAAGAATCAGTCATTAATTGAAATTCACATTCATGTTCTAGCTTTGAGAGAAAATATTATCGCAATAAAATTGCATGGTCAAATGCAATAATTGAAGAGAGACCACCACTGACCATTGATTTTCAAGTATAATAGCATACATAATACAGACATTTAATATAGGTTTTAGTTTGTATGGTCATTCATAAAAGGCACTCGCTGTATTAAACAAAAGAAAGGTAAAAGCATGATGTCTTGCACTTCTAAGGAATATAACTACTCTGTCTGTAGAGACATGGTTACTTTCAAACACAAATTAAGTTATAGTACAATTGATAGTAATCTTAATCAACACTGATACTCATATAGAAGTATACATGGCTACAGAAAAAGTTTCCCATTCTTCAATGGAGAGATAAAAAAACATGTAGGAGGAGGAAATCACTTTTTCATTCATCTCTCTTTGGAGTAGACTGCCTACTACTCCATATTTGGGGTGGTTCATTGATGTGATTTTACCAATATGAGCCAACTAATATGATCTCTTAAGCATCCTATGTGACACTCTAATACTTTTGGACTAGATTCTGCCACCCTTACTCATGTTGAGTAGTACCTTATTTGGCAAGTAGTCCCATTGATATCAGTGGGACTATTTACTAGTACTACTCTCCAAATATGGTACTATATGACAAGAGTGGCAGAACTTAGGTATGACTATCTAACTTTTGGCCTGATCCTGCTGCCTTTCTTCAAATGAAACTCTTCTGTGATTCTGGGCAGATTGAGAAGCCCTTAAAGTAATGAGCAGCCTCTCACACAAGTAATCCCGATGACTTTAATAGCACTACTCATGGAGCAACTGTTCACCACTGAGAGTTAGGGGTTTGCAGTCCAGCACCCAGTGAGTTCAATGGAAGTTTTGTCTGAAGAAGAAATGCTGGATCACGTCTTTTATCAGTGCATTAGTGGTCTCATTTAATGAGAGGAACAGTTTAAAAATTTTAATGAGTTTTAAAAAAACACACATCCACATATTTATGAGAAATGAAGAAAATGTCATACTACAGAAAAGAATGCCTTTATTTTAAAACACTCTTTATGGTTTTTCATGTGAAGATGCCCTAAGATTCTATAGCTTATTAAAATGATGTAGACACACTCAAGACAATGCATTTGCTGAAGACAAGTTAAAATTTTAGCAAGCATTCATCAAATGGAAGACATATAATCTAATATCCTTATAATTTAGAAAATACATCCTCTAGCATTATTTTTATGTAAGATGTGTTTCTAGGAATCTTATGAACAAGCACTTTTATATTCTCACCTCAGCCACTTTTACTTCATGACAAATTGTTATTGCCGCAGAATACAAAATTTAAAATCCCAGGCCTTTTGGCAGTTGCAAGTTGGTTAAGTGTTATGAATTTAAAATACTGATAAGATTGTTGGTTTTGAAGAAATGCTACAATTAAGGTATGCAATCTAATATCAAAACAGGTACTGAATTTAAATTTCTAAACGTAATCATTTGCCTTATCAGTACCTTGGAGAGCACCTTTGTATCTTTCATATCTTATTCCTTTATATTACATTTACATTTATTAATTTTATTATAACAATGACCCTCAAAAATGAATATACAATGCACAAGGTGCTCTTTTATTATAAGTAAAGCAACCCTACTGGAAGATTTTGATGCTCAACACCAACTACATCTCCATTTGATATAATTCAATCTGGATCAAGATAATTAACATATGCTTGATTATATTTTAGCATATTTGCTATAATATACTATATTTAATTAAAAACGTTAGTAGGAATACTGTGTAGTTCAACCAAATGAAAAATAATCAATCACATCCACCAGCAACACTTCTGCATACACAATCTATTAATCTGTCCACCCATTTATAGCGTGTAATATATTGTATGTATTCCTGGTGCACACAGACATTGAAATATACACAACCACCCCCCAATCGATGCAGATAAACTTCCTGCTGGATTCTGTTCCTACTGAAAACTTTGGGACTTTCGCCACAACTCCAGTAGCAGCAGAATCACTTCGTTTGTTCTTGGCTCAGGTAAATAACCACATAAAATGATCCAGAGGCGCCAGCTAGCGTTAACTTGGTCAGGGAGATTTCATTATGGATCCCTATATTCAAGCTGTGTAAATGCACCTTAGAATAAAACTTGGCACACGGTGCCTTAGCCTATGAGAAAGAACTGGAAGGGTGGTGGTTGTTATGGTGGTTTTGTTTTTGTCAACAGGAGTTGGAAATAAATTAGATCCTCATTCCTCTCTCTTTTTAAGTGAGGAGTTGCTCTGTTCTGAGGTGGGATTGTTGAGTGCTATAAAACTCCACCCACTGCACTAAAGACTTAGGGCATTAAAAGAAAACAAACACACACAGGTAGGACATTTATACTACGGTTATTGATTTTCATATGGATTTTTAAACTACATGTTTATTATTTTTCTCCGTTGTTCAGGTCTCGCCTGCGAGCGCACAAGAATAAAGCACCAAAAATGAGCTAATTTTTAAAGGCTCCCTTTAAAAACATTACCGTAGAAAAGGCAACGGAATCATGTACTATGACAAAGTAAGGTGAAAGAGGCGAACTGAGCCAGAAACCCCGAGACAATTCAGAAATGAATCCGAAACTCATTCCCTAACCTTGATGTGCCTAGGTACAAACAGTAAGTGACCAAATATGGTACCACTTGAGCTGCGTTAACTAGGCAACACGAGTATCTTGCTTCTGGGGATTTAAATCAGTCCTTTATTTTCTTCAAGTCTTCCCTGATGGGTCCTAGAACAGATCTGATCCCAAAGCACTACACTGAATCTACAGGTTTCCATTTGTACATGTTCATCAAACCTAGCCAACGTAAAATACACATCCTTAACAACAATTTCTCCCTTAAACGGGGACTCATCCTATGGGATAAATGGAGACTCTTATTAAAATAACTGTTCCGTTCATTCATAAATCGCCTTGGTGTTGCCAGGCTTTATGGCAGCAATACTTTGCATCATCATTAAGAGATCGCTGTAACAGCGGGTCAGCCAGAAAGAGCCGAAAGTGCACACAAAGGTATATCGATGGATTGGTTTGGGGTCCCCCAGGATATTTTTCTTCCATAACCGTAACACGATATACCTTTTTCATAGTTAAAACTTCAACAACAAAAATCAGGTATTCACATTTAAAACCATCTAAACACCGTGTGTCTGCTCTGGGAATAGGGTTCCTGTCCATTCCCCCTCCCCCAAATCTTGAGCAATGTTATATAGAGCAAGCCTTCATTTGAAGCGCTTCCGATTCATACAACCTGTTGACTTGGTGGCTGCCTGATTGAAACCCTATGCTCGAAATATCGCAAGGAAAAATAAGGGCCACTGGGGAGAACAGAGAAGGGGGGACGTGGGGTAAATCATACATGTACAATAACACTTCCTTTCCCCGGAACATATATTACTAACCATTGTTTATAACACTAAACCAGCAGCCTCTTCCCCCTCCCTACATCGGTGCAACAGGAGAAAATAGTTTTCCAGTCTTAAGGAAAATTTCGTTGCAGAACAATGGAAGTTCAAATGTGTGTGTGTGGGGGGGGGGGGGGGGGTAGAAGGGGGGACTAGCACTAGAAAGACGGGGAAGGAGAAGGGATACAAGGCGGGATATTTCCTGTTGCACAAATCCAACCAACTGTTGGGCTTTCACTCTGGGGTGATTCTCTCTCTTTCCTCCACTCCCTGTTCCCCGATCCAAGGTCTTGACCCCCCCCCAGCATTTTCCTTTCCTTTGTACTTATTGTCCTCACGCCCTGCAGCATCGCTACAGCAGCAGCCCCTCCACACAGCATCGGAACCTTCCCGGGGCTCTGCTTTATAATCATCACCATACATAGCAAAGGAGGCTGTTGGGCACCAGCGTTTGCTGTGCTTGTGCTGAGTGCGGTCCCGAGCACTCGAAGAAAAACTGCTTATGGTTATTATTTTAACGTGGATTCTCTCTGCCCCCCCCCCAACTCCATAGGCAAAGCAAAGAAAAAGTTCAACTTTCCGAACGCCCACACAACCTGCTGCCGCTGCTATTAGTAGATAACCGTCCCACACGCGTGTCCCCCCCTCTTTGCACTAAGGAAGCGAAGTAGAGGCAAGGAGCAGAGTGAGGGGGACAGGGGGGAAAAGAAGGTGGTGGAAAGAAGTGGGGGGGGGGAGCAGCAGAAGACTAGAGACGAGCAGGAGAGGAGAGCTCTGCAGAGAGTCCACTGTACCTGTGCTGCCTATACCTTGCTTGGTGGTCTCCAAGGGGAAGAAGATGCCTGAACATTTCTCCCGCTCCACCTGGCCCCCCAGGCACAGCTCTGAGATGATCTGCAGCGCCTTGTGACACAGGCTCCCCACACCATCCTCCTTGTGGAAACTCATCTTCTCCTTCTTCTTCTTCTCCTGCCTCCTTCCCTCTCCTCTAAGCCATTGCTTGCCTGGGAAGGGTTTTCTGGATGTCACTAAAAAGCTACTCAGCTACCAAGTCACCATCCCCGGAAGAAAAAAAAAAAAGCCAAGGGGGGGGGAGGGCCAGGGGGAAAACCAGTGCAATTGACACGTTGCAGGTAAACCAAGGCTCTCATCAGCAAGGGGGGGTGGGAGGGAAAAAGAAAAGGAGGGAAACAAAATAAGCATCCACTTAGCAACGCCTTTTGTGCCTAGCAGGCTTCGATAGGCAGCTGTGTCCAATGGCAGCAGAGCGCGGGCGCTTGCCTTGGGAGGGATACAGGTGGCAGCAGCGCCGGGCGGGATGGCGAGGTCCCGGGTGAGTCAGTGTCCCGGCGTGTTCCCAGGGGCGGGCGGGGAAGGCGGGAGGAGCAGCCTGGCTCGCGGAGCTTGGAGGGGCGCCTCTCTCCAAGGACACGCCTTGCCTCTGTGCCGGCCCTGGCCCCTCGCTGGCACATCGCAGTCCCCTCAGGGTTTCACCCGCTTTCCTTCCCCCCACCCAAACAGGAGCTGGGGAGGCCGGGCAGGGGGGGATTGGAACATGATACTCCCCTTCTTTACTGGGGGGGAGGGAGGGAACCCCTTATAGGCACAGTCTGAGCTCAGGCATGCAGCACCCGCAGAAGGGATGTTGGCTGGCAGAGGGGCAGACGCAGGCTCCCCCTTGCTCCCAGCTATCAGGGTAGGGCACTGCCACTCCAACAGAAGAGCACACGCTCCAGTTTGGAGAGGATTCACTGGCATGAATCAATTCATTGTTAGCTCTGGCATGGCCTGGGGACGGCAGGTCACACAAGTGGCAATCGGGACTCGGTAACTCGAGCCAGGCTTATTAATATTGTGTGTCATTTTGGGGACGTTACAAAAGCACACTAAAAAAAAAAAAAAAAAAAAAAAAAAAAGGAGCCAAAAAGGGGAAGGGGCGGCGCCAAAACGGGGGGGGGGGGGGGGGGGGGGGGGGGGGGGGGGGGGGGGAGAGAACAACCTGGTTGCTTACTTCATTAATACTGGTGCTCCTTTAGTCTAGGAAAGGCAACCTTTGACATTCAGAGGACTACGGTGAATGCACAACCTAGCAAGAACAGAAAGGAAATGGTTTTTTCTCGTTTTGTTTGATATGAAACTCCTTGATTTTCAATTCACACTTGGTGGAAGATGCTGAGATTATTTTTTAAACACACTTGTTAATTTGGTAGAATCTTCATTTGCTCAAATGGCATGGACAGTATAACCTTGCATAACATATCATGCACAGCAGTATCAAAGGACTTCACTAACCAAATGACCATAGGAGCTCTGGTTTTGTAAGTCTCTCTTAACTTGTAAAGATATTATTAGGCTTGAAACTGTCCAGTTACTAAACAAGTTAATTTCTTACAGGTGTTTCATCACAGATTTAGATGTTCTTGATACTTTGTGCATACTTGATACTTTTTAAGAAGTCCAACACAGTTTCATTCTCAGTTCAGAGGGTTCAATCGTTTTAAATAAAGAATCCACTGTTTAGGGGAATTAAGGCTTTATACTATTACATTAATAAACTCCTTAAAAACCACAAAGCATTTTCTATAGTGATGAAATATATTCTATTCCATGACTTGTGTCTATTTTTCAATGCTATTCATTGTTCATTAGGCACAGGTTGAAAATAATTTTGGTAGCAGTTTGCTTAGTTAAACAGCCACTAGTCTGCTACTTGGATTCTTGTGCTTCATGAACAAGGACAGTTAACTTGTTCATTATTGAACTTTTTTCTAGTATGGAATTTTTAATCTATCACTGTCAAGTTAATTTATAATTGATTTCTAATAAAATGCAAAAACAGATAGTGTTCCTCCTGCAATGTTTTTATGAATAGACAAGAACATAAATTGTTTAAATATTATACAGTATTTCTATTTTCCATTCTGAACATTATGTATTTTGAATATAGAGGATATTAATGTGTGTGTGTAAAAAGAAGTTGTTTGTTATATGAAGGCATATACATTTATGCATATTAATTCATATACATTTACTTTTTCTGTATCCTTAGCAAACTTGTGTAGGACTTAGCACACTGTAATACAAGAAAAAATGTCAGGTTTTCTATAATTTCTTTACTTTTCTATGTCCAGATAATTTTCTGGGAACTACATACAGTGTTAAGATTCCTAGCATAGCACATCTGGTCAAAGAACTGTACAATCTTAGATGAAGCTCCATTTAATCTTTATACAGAAAAATATATATGATTAATTAAAATATATTTTAGGGATACAAACTTTATGTACATCTTTCATTAAGACTGAAGGAAACTATACCCTTCAGATTTGAAAATATGAATAATTATTCTTTGTTAGATTTAGAGCTCAGTACTCAAAATAATATCACACATCACTGGTTAATAATTAAGGAGTCTGTTCACCTCTAAGGGTATGCCTATGCTGCAATGGAAGCCCAAGTTTGTGGGACTGGAGCCCACAGGCTCAGTGTTCGTAAGCCTGCGCTTGAACGTCCACCCTGAATATTGACCCTAAGGTTAGAATTTCTGGACCTGGATCTCACACTCACATGTCCACACTGCACTACACAAACCTGAGTCAAACCAGTCTATCCCAGGCTTCCTAGCGCCCTCTCCAGCTGTAGCCACTTTAGCCCTTGGTATGGGACAACTTGACTGTCCATCCTGTCGCACTTTATAGGAAGTGGTCACAGCCTGCCAACACATCCAACTGAACCTGTCTTTTGGGTCTTTATGCTCCAAGCAACCAGAGCCAGCAACATGGAGGCAATACCATTTGAAAAACTTGTCCTGCTTGTGCTTTCACTCTTGTGTCAGGAAATTGGTATAGCAGGCATGAGACTGTGGTGGACATTTTGACTGCATTTTCTAACCTACCAATGGCAGCTGTCACAAGAGGACAAGGATGATGACAAAACAAACATAGCAGACTTAACTGGCTGATGCTGCTCAAGATTCTTAGTATAGCTGCTGGTGCCCCTGATGAAAACTGGTCCTTCTGGAGCAGGGCCACAAGCACAGACTGGTGGGATCACATCACCGTGTGGACCTGGGATAAGCAGCAATGGCTACAGAACTTTTACATGAAGAAAGTGACATTTATGGAGTTTTGTGAGCAGCTTGCCCTGATCCTCCAGTGGGAGGACACTCTCACGAGGGTGGCCATGCTGGTCTAGAAACGGGTTGCTATAACAATTTGGAAGCTGGCTACCTCAGACTGCCACAGGTCCGTTGCTAAACAGTTTGGTGTTAGCAAGTCAGCTGTGGTGGTGGAGATTTCTGAGGTGTGTGATTTACCCAGGGGGTATGCATGCCCTGTCCAATTAGCATTCAATCCCGCTTTTAGGGGCCACCCAACCATAATATTCTCCAATGCATTCCTGGTCTGTGGAGAGGAACTGTGGAGGGGACTCAGGGTGTGATGCAGGAGCCTGACCATGGCCATTAGTGCAAGCAGCAAACATGTCTTTCTGCTCTATCTTCCTCCTTCAGTCACCATTCCAGATCTAGAAACTGCACTGCAAGTCTCTCCTGCACTCTGCAGCCTGTCTGTGCCTTTTCCCGGTCCATGAATCCTTTTCCCTTTGGTACTGTACCTGCTTGTTGGACCTATCCAAGATATCCACCATAAGTTCATCATGGACAGGCATCCTTTTGGACTGCTTCATGACTGTTCAAAATCCCTGGCTCTTGCTGGATTGTGGCTGAGCTGCAGAGGAAGAAAGGCCTGAAAATAGACAAACAATTCATTATTGTCTCAGTACTTCAAAAAAGGTTAAGTACATCCTCAGAAAAAGTTACATTTGGAATCTCAAGGCAAAAAAAAAATGCTTTCTAAAACTTAGCTTCAATATATTCTCAGAGCAATGCTTACTATCCCAGGTGCTCTATGCACATGACAGTTAAGCAGAGTGAAAAGCCCAAGCAGGGAATGGTAAGGTGAAATTTACAAATGCTCTATGTTTAAAAATCAGACCATTTTAGCCTTGGTGTGTGTGGGAGTGTTTACTTCCTAAGCTTTCTTAGTCTTTTCAGGCATTCCACCTTCTGAAGGATGACAATCCTAGAGGTTCCTGAATGGCAAAGGAACACTGTGTTCCAAGCTACTGATTGGAAGCCAGCTGTGTATGCCACGGAGGTTTTCAAGTTTATGACGACTGATCAACATATCCATTAGTGGAGTGGGCTGATGTCCTACAGAGGAGGGCTTTAAAAAATACACCCTTCTGAGAAATGCGACTACCTATCTGAAGTTCCTGCTACAGAAGAAGTTTGCAGCTATGAGCTGTGATTGGGTCAAAATTCACAGGGAAAAATCAACAGGATGCTGCACTAGAGTCCACATGGATTACTGCCTCTGTGTAAGCTGCTGAAAACTCTCTGCACTCCTGCAGCTACAGCTTATGATACAGCCTGCTCTGACTACATCTACCTGGACTACATGCAAACACACATGACAATATGGACTCTCAAAGAACTGCATAGCCAGCCCCTCTCCTCCCTGGCACATTTCTGGACTGCATAACCCCAATTCACTAAATCCTTGCTGTACTTTAGTCACCCATGCGCTACATTTTCCCCACACACTGCGTACAGCAGATGATTCATTATGCTGTGAGACGGCGGATTTGCACGATGTGGTGTACTAAAAGGGTAGCAAATCTTTGTAATAATGTGCAAATATCTAGTAAAAAGTTTAATGTTAGATGCTTGTAACTGCTACCCATGGCTTGTAATAACAATACATTGGGTCATAACTCAGAAATCCCTCCCATTCATATATTAAACAGACATGGAGCCAACCACATACCAGGCTCCTTCTGTATCTTCTGCTGGTAGTTCTGAGGCAGGCTGATCCTCCAGGATGGGGGTCATCAAACAGCTCCTCTGGGTATGGGCCCAGGATGAGCTGCAAAAGCCAAAGCCCACT